CAAAAAGTCATTTTTACTCCGAATAGAACATGCTATTATTTTTCAAACGCCACGAATAATTTTTTAAACAATTTCAAACGTTCCAAATAATAAAAAATATTTAAGATTAACATCTTGTATGTAATTATATATCGAGAAACTATGGTTACGCTCGTTTAATTTGACACTTTATGTCAGTTTAATAATATATTTTCGTACTTTTGTGCCTAGGCGTTAAAATGACTTTTTTAAATTGTCAAATATGTTTCTTTTATCGAGATCTAGGTACAAGCCCTGATAATATTTGCACTTCTTTAAGACTCACCCTGTATACTATGTAACAAAAATCAAAGTTATATAGTTAATCATAAAGTCCATATTTGATATTTATCACCAAAAAAAGAAAGTACGTATAGTTGTATTGAAAATTAAAGTATTTCTTGCAAATTTAGGCGCGGTTTGCGAGTTACTGCGTTCAATCCAACCGTAAAATTATGCAGCTAAAAGCTCAGAGAAATACGTAAACATAGAGGAACTCTAAAGAATATTTCATTTAATATACAGAAGGACTACATATCGACGGCGTCACGACAAAAGGGCGTAAGCGCCAAAATAGCGAAAATGAGATTATGGTTCCAAAATGTAATACTAATAAATGCGCACCTATCTATGAAACGGTTTAACCAACAAAAATTCTTAACGTGAGAAAAAAGACAGTTTTAGTTTCTAACCGCCAATACACTTTCAAACGAGACTCGACGCGAAAATCAGTAACCGCCATTCACACGTGTTGGAAGGTCGCTTACGCCTGGGATGAAAAAATACCATTTTCCATTCAAAGGTACGTAGAAAAACTTATTAATAAGATAGGTCTTATTCATATTTGGTAGCCTAGATTGTTTTTTGTGCTTCAATCTTATTCAAATAGTAATCACCGACATTTATTTGTTATTGTCGGTTACGTCTTTTCGTGTTAATTTATTTGGTTTCCGTAAGCGCCATCCGCCTATGTGATCGTAATGGCATATTTTTTTGCTTTTAACAAAACTACCGTTCAGCAGATTTCAAAAAATTGTAAAATATCAAAATTGTATACAATATTAATTTTCAAAAAAACCTTTGCTACAAGTCAAAGGTCTTTTTCTTGATTGTAATAATTGTTTGAAATTTGATTTTTTTGATGTCGCTTAAGCCTTTTTTATATTTTTTCTCCACAGTGTGATAATGACTTCCCGCGGGAAGAAAATCAGAGATTTGGCATTAAAATGTGGAAATCAAGAGGTTGAGGTTGAGAGCAATATCATAGATAATGATCTGGCAGAAGCATTGCAGCATGATGCGCTGTTGGAGTCAGAATTATTCATGTTAGAAGCACCACCTTTTGCCACCAACGAGGAATACGGATCAAGTTCACCCGTGTTTTGCTCAGAATATTAGTTAAATTTAATTTTCCAGTTATTATTTCAAGCCTAATGAGTTTGAAAATATTGAAAGTATCAGTTTGAGTATTTTGTACTGTGTTTTCTTAAAAAATTTAAAAAATCCAAGCGACATTTTTAATTTTATTTGTAAAACTCAAAAGGCGTAAGTGCACCTAAACGACAAAAAATGACTAGAATAATAAGACACAAAAGTCTTAAACGCCTTTCAAAAAGACGTAAACGCCAATCGAGCCTAGAAAGAAAGGCGTAAGCGCCAAATATTAAAATAACTAATTAACAGTTTAATATTTTATAAGCAAAAAATTCTTGAAAAATGTGCCATATAATCTATAATACTGTAGCAAAAAATAATTCACAAAAAATAAAAAATATAGATTTTAGACGTTTTTTTCGTCTCCTGAAAAAAATGACGAATGGCGCTTACGCCCTTTTGTCGTGACGCCGTCGATATACAGGGTTGCTCACCACATACGACACGGAGTATTGTAGCTAAACGATTAGATTTTTACAAATTGTAAGTTTTGGGTTCGTTGAAGGACTATTAGAGCTACAATTTAAAAATAATTTTACAAGATACAGAGTGTCCCAAATAAATAAAAAATATCAAAGTTGTATTTTTTTAAATTATATATATTACATTTTTAGTTTCTACGATTAAAATAAAGGTAAATTTGATTAAGGTTTATTACACTTAAACCTTACCGTTTTTGAAATATTTTCAATTTTATGAAATTGCAGTAAAAAATTTAAGGCTTTATTTCTCCAAGGGTATCAAAGTTTTTAATACTAAATATTTACTGAAGGTTGTTTATTGATCAGATATTGTGTTACAGTAAAAAAATGTTTACTACCTTATACAGAGTGTCCAAAAATATATATTAAATAATTACTAGCTTTAAACGGTAATAACTTGTTTAATTTAAATGGAACACCCTATATATTTTACGTGAATCAGATGCACAATGTAATTGTCTATCAAATTGTATTGTTTCATTTTTTACTCATCTCTTCAAGTTTTCATAGAAAATGCATTTTCTTATAATTTAGACCTCATTTATCACTATACCCATGGAATATTGACATTTTAGCTTATTTTTTAAGATGTAATAAATTTTCAATACTAATATTGTCGATATTAATATTGTCGATATAGTTCGCTTATTTAATTAAAAATAAAAAAACAACTGTTTAAATATTTTTTTGTTAAAGAGGACCAATTAATATGATCCCAGTATTCAAACTACATTAATTGACTGTTTACGTTGTAGTAATAATTGCTCCAAATACTAAAAAACTGAATTTTGTGTGTGTATTAGACAGTGTGGTAAAAAGTAACATCTTATAAATTTTATTTCATTTATTGACGAATGCTTATTTATAAAAACAGAGACATTCATTTTCATAACTTATTATTATATTGATTTCTGAGCCAAATCCACATTTATTTAGAATAATTTATTAATTAAATCAATTTAAAGGTATGTAATTAACTAATTTTTGCTGTTTTTGGTAGGAAATAATGGTGGTATACTTAATTGGTATACTCTTTTACAAAGATTTAAATAGTTTTTTTGTATGCCAATAGGCTTGCAATATTTACCATCTGTACGTTTTGTACATATTATGGTACTATAAAAAAATCGAAAATGTCAATATTTCATGGGTATAGTGATAAATGAGGTCTAAATTGTAAGAAAATGCATTTTCTACGAAAACTTGAAGAGATGCGTAAAAAATGGTATAATACAATTTGATAGACAATTACATTGTGCATCTGATTCACGTAAAATATATAGGGCGTTCCATTTAAATTAAACAAGTTATTGCCGTTTAAAGCTAGTAATTATTTAATATATATTTTTGGACACTCTGTATAAGGTAGTAAACATTTTTTTACTGTAACACAATATCTGATCAATAAACAACCTTCAGTAAATATTTAGTATTAAAAACTTTGATACCCTTGGAGAAATAAAGCCTTAAATTTTTTACTGCAATTTCATAAAATTGAAAATATTTCAAAAACGGTAAGGTTTAAGTGTGATAAACCTTAATCAAATTTACCTTTATTTCAATCGTAGAATCCAAAAATACAATAATATACAGGGTGTTCCATTTAAAAAAATACAACTATAATAATTTTTACTTATTTGGGACACTCTGTATATTGTAAAAATATTTTTAAATTGTAGCTCTAATAGACCTTCAAAAAACCCAAAAGTTACAATTTGTAAAAATCTAATCGTTTAGCTACAATACTCCGTGTCGTATGTGGTGAACAACCCTGTATACTATATACAGGACTTTACGCTGCTATATGATGTTGGAGCTGTAGTAAGGCAGGTTCGAATCCTAGCAAGGTGACTTTTTTTAATCGTTTTTTTTAATTTTTACATATTTTTACATATTTATTTTTACTTTTTACATATTTATTATTGATTAATACAATTTTTAGTAATGTGTTTCTTCATTTTTTTTAAATTACTTATGCGCGCATTCAAAATTTCAGCTAAATCGGAAAAAAAGTTTATAATAATATAGTATCTAATGTTGTATAGATAATGAATGGTACGGAACCCTTCGTGCGCGAGTCCGACTCGCATCTGACCAATTTTTTCTCTTTAAAAATTAAATATTAGTTTTGATTTCTACAAAAACCAGATTCAAAACAATGATTCTACTCAATGGACCCGTTTTTTTTGTAAAATAACGCATCAAACACATGCTAAAACAGTTTTTGCTATTATCTTGAAGCAAATTTTTTGGAATAAGACTGGTTTTGCAACTTGACGCCTCATTTGTATTAAATTTATAATTAAGCCACTCTATGTTTACTTATTTCTCTGAGACCCAAAGAGACAGTAAGCGACTTATTAACACTCTACGCCGATGATTTCATACACTGCCTCTTGTCTGTAACCGTTGACCTTTTCGCAGATCATTTTTTTCGTAGATCATTTGTACGGTCGGTACAATCAAAACGCCCAGTATACTATTCATAATTCTCTATAGATCGTACCGAGGGAATAAATCTTAATATTAATGTGCGAATAATTGTTGCCCATTACTTGCCTACATTGGTAATAGATTTTTTCCTGCAATAATTTTATTTAACAGCAGTACAGTGGCAGTACGCTTGCTTTTTTTAAACATAAATAATTTATTTTTTCGGTTTTCCTAACTTTTTAGAAAAGCTCCTTTCTCATTTTCTTTTTGATATAATATAATATAAAGTTTTTAACCTATCTTCGCTATTAAAGTATCATTTAATCTATTCTTGCTGTTAAAGTACTCTATTTTATCTATTATTTTTGATAGATATAAGGCAATTTTAACAGTTGCTATGGAAAAAAACATAAATACACTTTTGTAGTATAATTCCATGTTTCTTTTTTTTCAACTTCGCCATAAACACAATGCTATAAATTGGTAAAACTGCAGATAAAACTTTCAGTGTAGGCTAACCTTTAATCCGGTTTACCTGACATGTAAAACGTTACGTCTAGATAGGGCTTTAGTACTACTTTAAGTCATTTCATCAAACAATTTGTTTTTTTTCAAAATTTTCCTTTATTAAAGTAAAAATAAACTTTACAATCGATAAAATCTTAAAAGTACACAAAATAAAAATTAACATCAATTTTGTTGTACATAAAATTTGTACACAGGATTTTTCGTAAAATTACTTAAAATAAAACCCTATTATAAGTTTGAGAGATCCGTACAAAAATTTATATGTATATACAAATTAAATTTTCTAATTTTAATAATATAAATTTAAACTATCATCTAAAATACTAAAATCTTGTTTGAGAGAAACGTATGAAATTTGTACAATATAAAAAAATACGTTGGAATGTTTAATAATAAACTTATAGTCCTTGAAATACTTTGCAACACTAATAAATCACTTATAAAACATTATAATTGTACTTAATAATAATTTATTGTAACAATACTGCTAATAATTCATAAATTAAAGCAATTATTCCTAACTCTAACCTATTTGTATTCTATACAACACTAAAACGTTCTTCACCAAGAATTTATCATAGTAAAATATAATATTATGATACAAAATATAAAAAAGTATTTTTTACAAATATGAATTGCGAGTTAAGGTCCCTTTTAAAAATTTACAAAATGTTTTACAAAATATACAGAGTTATCTTAAATTTTAATTAAAAAAAAACGTAAAAAATACAAGTAAAAACATACAAGGAACATAATAAATTTAAATGTATATTATTTAAAGACCGTTACAGCGATATAATGTCCCACCTTAGGTGGTATAATGTACAAAAATATAAATCGAATTAATGAAAATATCGAAAAAAATGTACAAATTTGTGAAGGGTAAGAGATTTTAATAAATACATTTGAGCATTACAGTAAAATACGTTCAAAGGCCCCCACAGACGCTCAGTTTTTTCGCACAGACAAATCTGATTTGTAAAGGCATATCGGTGCATATGTAGTTAAACTGAGCAAAATTCCCTGCGCATGTAGCCTGTACTAAACACCTGAGCTAAGTTTGCCGGGGCTCATACAAACTTAAGAATATTTGTAAAAAGAATATGACTTTTATATTACATGTCTTCGAGTTTTGACTTTTTCAAGGTTTCATATACGAAAAATTATGAGAGAATTATATTAAAAACTAATCAGTTTCAATCAAGATAGCTTAACTAACTTTGCCTTATAAACTCAAATTATGTCACAAGCAAAAGTATCAATCACTAAATTCTTTTACTTAAAATTACTTCTTTGCAAACATCTTCACATAACACCACAATATCTACACTTACACATGACTCAATTACTTTTACCGACCCATTATGTCAGCTATGGTAAAACCAGTCTTCTTAGGAGGCGGTCTCTGCTGAGCCGGAACTTGGACTTCCACCTTTTTCATACTCAAATCACTAGGCATACTGTTTGGAGACACCTGCCCAGAACAATTCGGTCCTTTGGAACCTCCGGGGTGTCCTAGAAGTCCTGGACTGTGCATTGGAGCTGAGTAAGTCCCTGGACCATCATTAGGTTTGATTATTGAGCTCGGTGTCGGTGGTAGAGTGACATTCTGGACCGGCAGAGACAAGTTTTGAGCATACTGAGGATGAATGCTGCTAATGTTGGTCATCCCACCCATTCTCAGCGACATTGGTGGGCTGAGAGGACGTGAATGGGTGTAGGAAGATGGTGTTCTTGGCCTGGGCGAGCCCAGGAAGCCTGTGGAACAGCTGGGACGGTCCTGGTCGAATGCTCGTTTACGGAATGGACCTAGAAAGCAAGGTTCCATGGATTTGCTGGTTATGGTGCTGGGTTTAGCGAGGAGATCCCTTCTGATTTGGAGCTGCGGTAGTGGGGATGGTGCAGGACGTATCGAAACCTAGAATAAAAAAAAGAAGATTTATTAGAATAACATTTAAATAAATAAAAACTAAATAATTGTCTTCTTTTATTGCCATTTTCTTCAAGTTCAAAAAAAGCCTGTGTTTTTCTTTTGTCTTTATTGTCAGTAGCTATTTCCAGTGGAGAAAACTGAACAAAGATATACAGGGTGGTCCGAACTGTATTCCGGAAATTTCGGCAGCATATTCTGCAGATAAAAATAAATAAAAACTTCGTATAAATGTATGTCCTAAAATGCTTACTTTCGGAGATACAGGGTGTAGAATTTTCATATTTATTTCGATTTTTTCCAAATAATTTCTGAAGTAACGTCAATATTTGGATGAAAATTGGTGCCTAAAAGTTTTTTGGCATGAGAAATTTGATTTTGATGTCAATATAACTCTATTTTGTAGCGGGCGTCACCTACGTGTGTTTTAACTGCTTTGAAGAGTAATAACTTTTCATCCGTACCTGTATAAAACTACTGGGTAAAAAAATATACATTTCCGTGAATTTTTACGTAGAAAATGTCTCTTGATAAAAATCGCTACGAACAACCGTTTTTAAGATATTTAAAAAGGAAATAGTCAATACATGTCATTATTGAATAAAAATAAACACGTATAGTTATTTGACTGAAATAATAAATTTGGGAAATTTTAATTTTTTTAAATTAATATTAATGTTTTTTTAATGATAAAACAGTTTCTGTTGAACTTTTTTGACAGAAAAAATCATTTCAAATTTATGATTTCAAACAACAAAATATTTAGTCAACATGTTTAATTTATGTCAATGATGACAGGTATTAATAATTTCGATTTCCCAATATCTCGAGAACCATTACTCGTAGCGATTTTTACCCATACATTTTTTACGTAAAAAACGTCATAAATGTATATTTTTTACTCAGTAGTTTTATACAGATACGGACAAAAAGTTATTACTCTTCAAACCAGTTAAATAATATGTACGTGGCGCCCTCTACAAGTAGAGTGTCATATTGACATCAAAATCAAATTTCTCATGTCAAAAATCTCCCAGACACTTTCTTTTTCATCCAAATTTTGACGTTACTTCAGGAAATATTTGAAAAAAATCCAAATAAAAATACAATTTCTACACCCTGTATCTCCGAAACTAAGCATTTTAGGGCATACATTTATTTGAACTTTTTTAATTATTTTTATCTGCAGAATATGCTGCCGAAGTTTTCGGAATACAGTTCGGGCCACCCTGTATAATTTATCTTTATATAATTTTTCTCTCTTATTCTCCGAGTGTTATTCATCATAAATATAAGTTGATCATTACTTATATCATCACTTACGTCATGATCTAACTCATTAATGACTTCAGGACAATCTTCCTGGCCTGGATCTATCTCCGGATCATCCTCGTCATCCTCATCGTCATCCATGTCATGCCGGTAATCCAGCTTATCCATTTGAGGTCTCATCGTGTATGGAGATGACGAAGTTGAAGGCTCGTGACAGTGAGTACGATCCGGAGTTGGTGAACATATTCTTAGGTCATCTCTTGAGTCTTGTGATGGTGATCTACAAATGATGATAACCTTTACTAGAAAAATATCTTAAAAAACTTTAATAATAAATATAAATACGAATTAAAAATAAGAGCTTACCTTGGTCTAGGTGACATCCTGTCTCTTTCTCCATCCAAATCACCATCAGGTGGCACATCTCCAACAGCGTGAGTCAGTGCATGTCGTCTCAAATCACAATTTCTTCTAAATACTTTGCCACAGCTGTTGCACTCGTACGGTTTGTGATCTGTGTGAGTCAGGAGGTGGGTTTTCAAGTTGGAACGCTGGTTGAAGGACCTGGAGCAGACCTGGCACTTGTGAGGCGACTCTTCCATGTGGAGGATCTTGTGGACTGCCAGCGTTCTGGACTGACAGAAACCTTTTCCGCATTCGTTGCATTTGAACGGTTTTTCTTTTGAATGGATGTATCTGCAAGTAAAAGGAGGATATTAGAGTTTAAATTGGAACTACAATAAATAAATAGTTTTTTGGAAGATGCTTTTTCTTATATTTATAGTTAAAATAGATGCTTGTCATATCTCTGATAATTGTAAGTCTTTTAAGGGGTATAAACCATTGTTTATGGATAAGAACTAACCATAACCATACAGAGTGCTTCAAAAAACATGAGCCATCTCTCGTGAGGAGTTCCCTCACGTAAAAATAAGATTTATTTTTCATATTAACATAGGTCCGATTCTGCTTTCTTTCATCTACAGGGTGTTAAACTCTTAATTTTTTTCGATTTATTATAATTTTCATCCAAGTGCTTTTAGTGATTTGAATGAAATTTTGAGGGAAAAAGTTACTATAAGTACAACATATTTTAATGCTAAAAACTAGTAGTGGGAACTATCGAATGAATACTATCGAAACATTCGATAGTTGCAATTCATTCGAATAATTCGATAGCTAGTAAGAAAACATTCGTTTAAAACTATTCGAATAAAAATTATCGAATAGACGCGTCATCTGCCTTGAAATATTGTATTCTAGTAATTCGGCAGCAAAAACCATTCATTTATAAAATCCATTCATTTATGAAATTCATTTATTCGTCAGGATCGATTATAATAAAATATTAACTGGATTTTAGTTGTCGCCCGGCGACGTAGGTTTATTTCCCAGAAAATTTTTTATTCCCAGAAATTTTTTGGCAACGGTTGTTTTTTAAATAATAATAATTACAGAACTAATTTGTTATATTAACAACAAATTTTAAAATCATGAAATATCAACGTTTATTAATTTTCGAAGCATGCAGTGTAATGGAAGGAAAATATAAATAAAAAATTAGAAATCAAAATTATTTATATTAGGTGCTTTATATTACTATTTAAAAATAATATTATTTACTTTTACTGGCATTTACTTTAAAAAATAAATGAAATATTTCTTCGCAAAAAACTACATGTAAGAGAATTAGCATAAACCAAATACAATCATCGTTAACTTTTTTTTAAAATTGGCACGTGTAAAACTTTCAATTTAATTTTCTCACCCCGTAGTTTGAGTTCGATAACCATTTACTTAACCACATTACTTAAATATGATTATTAAGTTCAACTAATTCATATTATTAAAAGATCTAAAATACAAATATCTATTTTTAAAATTAATTGTAAGTTCATCTCATCTCTCTTAAAAATTGCTACTTCTCAAAATTTTCCATTAAAAAATAGACCATATACCATATAAAATTAAATAATTGAAAGATCGGGCTACGGAAAATCACAAAAATTTTCGGAAAAATGTTGACCACCTGCACACGCACACAATCATCAATTAAAAAAAACTACTATTTTAGTATTTTAAATATTTTAATAAACGAAAAAATAGCACAGTATTTATACGGCGAAGTTATAAAAATTTGGAAGAACTAATAATGCACTGACGCACACAAAAATCAAACGGATACTAAATTTCATTTATCAAAAGCATTCGATAGTCGTGGCTCAACGATAACCATTCGGCGGCACGTCGAGGTTGTCACGTATGCTTTAGTATACAAATGAATGAATGATTTTATTCGAATAAAACCATTCGATAGTTGAAATCATTCATTCAGTAACCATTCGATAGTCTAATTCATTCGATAGTTCCCATCGCTACTAAAAACGTGTCCATATGTTAACCAGGGACGTGCATATTGGTTATCATTAAAATATTTTTCTAAAAGAAAACATGTGCGCCACTGACCTTTTTCAAAATTGTGTAGACGTTTAATGTCTTGATGAGATAAATGCGATTTTATTAATAACAATGGTATGTAAGATAATTACAAGAGGCCTATTTTTAAAAAGTTTTAACATCCTGTAACCTTAAAACTATGCATTTCCCCACCCATTTCTTGTGGAGAGTTTTTTCATATTTTTTGATGAGGAATTAATGAGTAATCATTTAATACTTTGGCCCCCAGTTAATGACATTAAAAATATTTAAAGGTTACTATTAAACCTGGATTGTAAATTAGTAAAATTGCGTTTATCTCATCAAGAAGGCCGAAATCGGGAAAATATCAATAGATAACTTTTAATCGGCATTAAACGGCCTACAGAATTTTGATAACAAAAAAAAGGCAGCGGTGCACATGTTTTTTTTTATAAAAATGTTCCATTTATAACCCATATGCACGTCCCTGGTGAATTTTACGACACTTTTGTAGCATTAAAATATTACTACATTTATAGTAACTTTTACCTTTAAAATTTCATTCAAATCGCTAAAAGTACTTGGAAAGATTGTAATAAACTAGCGTGTACCCGCGACAATGCAAGAATTTCCATTAACATACAAACTGGATAAAGTTTTCTCACATTTATGTCAGCATGAGAAAAAACAATATGGCGATATTATTATATAACTTGGTAATATTTGAGGGGTAGTTACATCTCGTTGGAATTTGACTTTCGAAAAATCCGTTTGCCAAAATAAGCTTTTTACGTCAAGCAGTGTAAGCAGACTCGTGGTTAATCAATTACCCAACTTTTGGAACATCCTGTATGATTTTTTAAAAAAATTCAAAATATGTAAAAAAACAAAATAAATTATGCGTGTCCAAGCGTTTTCCCGAAAGACTAACCATTTTTTAAATAACGAATATTGTAATATTTGAGAGGCGTTTTCACCCTCTTGGAATTTGAGATTCGAGAAACCCCTCCTAATCGAACCTCTACACCCCACAGTCAATCCGTTTGTCAAAAATCAGCTTTAAACGTCAAGCAGTTTAAGCAGAATCGTGATTACTCAATGGTCATATTTTATGAAACACCCTGTATAATTTTTTTAAAAATCTTAAAATATGTAAAACAACGAAGTAAAATATACGTGTTTAAGATTTTTTTCCGAAAAACTCACCGGTTTTTAAATAAAAAATATTCTAATATTTGAGGGGTGGTTTCACCCCCTTAGAATTCGAGTTTCGAAAAACCCCTTCTTATCGAACCTCTACACCCTAAAGTCAATCCGTTTTCCAAAAATCAGCTTTTTACGTCAAGCGCTTTAAGCAGGATCGTGATTAATCAATGACCAGATTTTTCGATACACCCTGTATACATTTTTAAAAAATCTTAAAATATGTAATAAACAAAATAAAATATACCTGTTTAAGCGTTTTTTCGGAAACTTGACCGTTTTTTAAATAAAACATATTGTAATATTTGAGGGGTGGTTTCACCCCCCTGGAACTGGAATTTCGAAAAAGCCCTTTTTATCGAACCTCTACACCCTAGAATCAACCTGTATGCCAAAATTGAGCTTCTTACGTTGAGTGGTTTGAGCAGGATCGTGATTAATCAGTGAGTCAGTCACTTAAGGATTTTATATATTAGTATAGATAAGAGAAAAAAAAGTTTAACCCTCTGTAACCACGAAACAAAGCAAAATCGGACCAGACGGTTCTTGTTTTCTGAAACACCCTGTATAACTTGTTGCCCGGCTTCGTTCTCCTTATAAAAAGTCGTATATTACGGATTGCTCCGATTAATACGCTGCGGAATGCAGGGATCTGCGGAGATTATATCCTGGCCGCGTATAGCTTAAAAAGAAGAAGACGAAGAGTTTAAAGAAAAAGAAGAAGAAATATGGCGGCCCCGTGTGTGTCCACACGACTCTCGGGGAATTTCTCTTAATTAGTCTTGAAACGGATTCGCGGACGGTACTGAATTTATATCGGTCTCACTGTATTTAAACTGATATAATAAATTACAAGCTAAAAATTCAACGTATTTTGTAATTTAAGGCTTTCAACTAAGTAACATGACTTTTTGCACTAAACGGTATGCTTATTTACCAGAGATTTTAGAACTTCTATTAATCCAAGAGCGGGGTGCAAAAATATATTCTCAAAATCGATTTTAGTGTTAAAAAGCAGAGGTACAGTCAGCAGTTCCAATTCCGGGACACCTGGCGCTGAGAAGCGTACAAAGGTGTTAATTTAACACCTCCAAACTGTTTTCTGAAGATCTTGAACATTCGAATGCAATGGAAAACAAGAATATTACAGTCAGACAGAGTAGCAAACTTTCGACCGAGATTTGAAAAATTAGTCGAGATCACCTAAGTAGTTCGCGCACGAGTTGCAAACAACATTTTTTCTTCAAACCTTAAAATCGGGATATCCCTAAAAAATATTATTGTTATATTATTGCTTCGAAAAAAAAAGCGTGAGCTTGGAATGTATGTTTTTTATTACTGAACATCGTCATCGATTTCCTTTTAGGTCGATTTAATACTTGGTATTTCTGGTGCTTGCCGCCGTGAGGAACTTACTAAAATGACGGTCGATAACATAGAAGATATAGATTGAATTTTGATTGTTAAAGTACCCTATACAAAAACAAACATAGACCGAGTCTTTACCGATTTCGTGTCAAATTTGACTTATATTGATATTTACCGAAAATAGGCAGCTCTTCGTCCAAGAAATGCTACCAGACGCAGATTGTTTTTAAAATATCAAAATAAAAGATGTGTTAACCAAGTTGTAGCAATAAATTCTATTGATAAGATGCCTAGCGTGATAGCAAAACACTTGAAGCTGCCAGATTATGAGGCCTACACTGGGCATTATTTCCGGAGAACTTGAGCCACACTCCTTGCTAATATATTGGTGATATATTTAGTTTGAAGCGCCACGGAGGATGGAAATCTTCGACAGTGGCCGAGGGATACGTCGAGGATTCTATCAACAATAAAATTCAAATATCAAATAACATTTTAAAGTGTCAAATACCGGGATCAAGTAACTCTACATCAAAATTGGATAGTGTCTCAAATCCCAAAACCCCCTTATCTCAAGCACTCAGAACTATCTAGTTTGGGATTAAGCCCACGGCCACACAGAAAGCGTTTTTAGCGTTTTTTGCGTCTCAAGCGCTTTTTGCGATTTTACCGTTTTAAGCGTTTTTTTCGATTTGTGTCCATTAAAA